TAGCGATGGCCTCCACCTACTAGCGATGGCCTCCACCTAATAGCGATGGCCTCCACCTAATAGCAATGACCTCCTTCTAATGGCGATGGCCTTCACCTAATAGCAATGGCCTAGTAGGTGGAGGCCATCGCTATTAGGTGGAGACCATCGCTAGTAGGTGGAGGCCATCGCTAGTCAGTACTGAGTACTGAGAAACAAAGAATAAAGAAAGGACAGCTCCTCCCTTCCCGCGCCATGCGAAGGAACTCCTTCAATTCCAGCTCGCCAGACTCGTCCAAATCGTACCTTGTGAGGAATTTTGGTAGGACAGGAGAACCTGATGGGTATGTAAATGTATATCTGTATATCTGTATATTACACCACCATCCAAGAGTACACCGGTGCATCCAACAATACCATTGTACTTATGCGTGGTCGCACACAAATCATGAGCTTCTGATTCTAAAAACTCTGCAGGTGCCTGCTTGGCTGAAGCGTTCGCAAGATGCTGTTGCGAGGTGTCTTTCAATTCAACATGGTTTGTTGCAAAAATTGGGAACATGTCAATCATGCCCTAGTTGCATTGTTCGCCCCAGGTGGTAGGTTGGGTGGGATGTGGCAGTTGCAGTGCTTCTGGTGCCACAAGCGCAATCAACTGGCAAACCAGTGTGAGTTTGACGCAAGCATGTTTTGCCTTTCCCACAGAATCAGAAACAAATTCATCGATCGAGAGCTGTTCTACTGCCGCTCTCTAGTTGACGTGCCGAGGGGCAACCAGCCCAACGTGGGGACCTTTTTGTCAGGCAGCTGCTAGAAACCAACCGGGCAAGGCAAACTGAGAACTGCGTGGATTTCGGAAATGTGGAACATGTTTCCTCCAAACGGTACATCAACAAATCCACCTGAGTGGCAAATCCAAACGAGTGTGAACATTCCTGGTCAAAATCCTACAACCTGCCACCACTCCACTGGGCACTCGTCGATCAGTCCGATGATGAAGTCAGACTCCTGGCTGCTTCAACCGTGGAACTGGAATCCCCATTGCTCAAAGCGCACTGATAAACTTGCTGTTCATTGCGTGCAAAAAAAACGTGGCGCTGACTTCAAAAGTAGAGGTGGGTCACACTCAGCCACCTGTAGACCTCCCGTAGCTTCGATCGGCTTGAACCATCTCTATCAGGTACAGTGTGTAATTCTTTCTGTACAGCTAAAGCTGCTACATCGTTGTTTTGTACATCTCCCACTGGTCAGCGCCTCATCCGTAGCCTTCACGCCACACTCATCCAGGCATTTCTTGCATTCCTTCTGTGCAGCTGACTGACGGTTGGGAACAGCCTTCAAAACAATGAGTAGCCCATGCCAAGTCTCCAAACATGAGGCACATCATAACCGGATTTGCTTCAACATCCCAAAAAAGAAGACTTGCAGCAAATCAACTGCTTCACAAAGAGACCTTCTTACTACAAAGCATGTAAAGGAGGAGAGGCTGCAGCTAAGCTTAAGGGGTCATAAGAGGAGGCCGTTTCAGTGACGATGCCTGACCCGAGAGACCCACGAGCTCCGGCCCTGCCAAGCAGCATCGAGGCTTAGCCCATTGGTGCTGTCAGAGTCGTTCTGGTTGAAGACATCGATGACACGCTGACACTCCTGGCAGCATGGGATGAGCCGCCGGGATTGTGGGAATGCTTCCGGCCTTTTGTCTGTGGCTCCCCAGCCGAAAAAAGTATTGAAATTGAAGTGTCTGTGCCATCAAGGAAAGGTACTCAGTAACTCATGGGAATGGCACAGGTGCAAGACCACCAGCCGGACTCTGACAAACACATAGCTACATATGTAAATCAATTCGATACGTCTCGGTGCCTTTTGGGATTCCAATACCAGCCCTTTCCAAAACCCGCGAACCTCCAAGGCAGCCACAACATGACTTCAGACATCTGTTCAATGGATCTTGACCTCACGAAAGCCATGGCACATCATGGGACAAGCGACTGTCCTTCTCCCGGATCAGGCTGAGGATCCTGGGGCGAATCGGGTTTGCTTCCAACCAAGGAGTTCTTGTGGGCTTACACTTTTGAACGCAGAAAGTGGTTTAAGATTAAAACAAAAAAGGTGCGGGTCTGGAAAGTCAGATTTGTTCAACATTCAAACTGTTCAGCACTGGATTTTGGGCCTTGGTCTCCTCCAAATCCAAGCTCAACCCGAAAGATTACATCGGCTGGTTGCTGAGTTTGAGAGTGGAAGAATTTGGAGGGGACTGAGTCTCGACGCATGGTGCGTTAATGCTACTTCGCACTCAGCCTGCTGAAACTGCATCTAAGCTGGTGTGAAGACCGCATCAAAATTGGAAAACAAACACTTCTTAGAAGCAAAACCCAAAGTAGTCCCAAAAACAGACAAATGAGGCAGTATATGATTGGTCTTTCGTCGACGGCAAACTGCCCAAAAGAGTACAACGCTGGGATTCCCTCTTGAAGAATCGTAAGATTGCAGCAAAGTATAGCCATTGAAGACATCAATCACGGATCAGGTAGAGAATACAAAATAGCAGTTGACTGAAATTTCTTCTACGGGCACCACAAGTAGAATCTAGAGGGTGCACCTGGAACTAGGCGGTCGATTCTTTCATATCTTCCAAACACCCTCCCAGCTGGGCTGCGGTTTTCTTCCGAAACCAAACCGATGATTCGGAAACCAAGCATGATTCGGAACCCAAGGAACCATCATTCGGAAGCCAAAACGATGATTCGGACGCCAAAACGATAACTCGGAAACCAAACAGTATTCGGAAGCCAAAAAGGAGTCCACGATTATTCGGAGACCAAAACGAATATTCGGAAACCAAGCACAACGACGAAACCAAGCTGACATGTCCGCTGGCATGTGACGTTCTTGTTTTTCCACTCAGGCTTCGTCTCGGATCCTCTTCGTCTTCTCCTTCTGCTCGGCCAACTTGTTCTTTTTCTTTTCTCTCCTCTTCTGCGCCATCTGCTCAAGTTGATCTAAAGTGTTCCAAGCTGAGGCAGATGGCAACTCTCGCGGTCTCCCCACACGCTGCCTCTCAGCATCGTCTGCCTCCCAGACAGTGAGGCCAGCTCCTTTTTTTGTGAGCTCTGACTGGCTCACCAACGACTCCAACGACACAGCTCGGTCACCAAATAGCCAACGGACAAAGGTGCGACGCTGGCAGTCCCCATGCTTCAGGAAGATGTAACCTGAAGCAAAAACAGGATGGCGTCTTCCAGAGGTGTCTTTGTTGCGAACTGTTGGAAACCCTGGTCCCTGGGAGCAGAGAAATTTCAGACAAAAACATGTTTTAGTAATAGTACATCAGCCAAGGCACAAGAGCAGAGCACAGAATATCCTTTTGAAGGAGAAAGGAGATTGCAGCGCAGCCACCACTGCCAAGGAACAAGTGATATCTCAGAGTTTTTTGAGACGAGTCTTTCCCCTTCGGGGCACTTGTCATCAGAGATACAGAGTTGCAAGCTCGTGATATCTGCCGTGATTCTGCCGCAGCTTGCAACAGAGATTGTTGCCTCCAAGGACGAACTCGACAAGTCAGTACGTGTAAAGCAACAGCTATGTCAGCAGAGGCAAAGGGATGGGAGCGCATGTAGCGCTGCCAATTTTGTAACAAAACAGCGCGGGCATTCAACAAAGATGCCCACAAAAATCTCTGGCCCTGCACAAGCGCTTGCACTGTCAAGATGGCCGCATCATCGCCGCGAGCACCAGCGCAGAACACCTGCCGCGTCAAAAACCAAGTTGTTTCATTGTGTTTGCAGACCCCAAGTCTGGAATCCTCATGAAATGGTACAAAGAGACCAAACAACAGCAAAATAGGAATGGTGGTAACCCCGAAAAGAAGCCCACGAGAACTCAGGTGAAATATTTCAACTGTTAAGCCCAGGTCTGTCCAAGTATAGAATCCAGGAAAAGGTATTGCCCATAGCCAGACCACCCCATCCAACCTGCTGTGATTCAGAACCCAACTGCCCTTGTTTTGCACGGTCACTACATCTGCCAGGAACCTTCTTGCCCAAGCCCCACCCCAGCACCCCACCCAACCGACTGTCATTCAAAACAAGCCGCATTTCCTTTGCGTGGCCTCTACATCTGCCAGGAAATTAGTACCCCAGCCCCATCCGACCACCCCACTCAACCTACTGTGATTCAGAACCCAGCTGCCATCTCCCAGCCCCATCCCACCACCCCATCCAACCTACTGCGATTCAGTACCCAGCTGCCATCTATCAGGAACGTTATGACCCCAGCCCCATACCACCACCCCACCTAACCTGCTGTGAAGTTGGTTGCTGAATCGTTGTTTTTGGTTGCTGAATCGCGGAATGTTGGTTTCTGAAACGCAGAATTGTGGTTTCTGAAGCCCGAAATTTTAGTTTCTGAAGCGCTGCAAGTTTGGTTTCTGAATCGCGGATTTTTGGTTTCTGAATCGGACTTTATTCCTCCCAGCTGGCACCACTGCAGCAAGGGGCTTTACACATTGCCGGAGATCCATCATCTCTGCAGGTGCGGACCTGAGAGATCCGGAGTGAGTGAGACTGCTCAAATACTAGTAGCTTCTAGCTACAGTAATAGTAGTAGTGCCCCTGTTCCTAGTAGCGATGCCCTTGTTACTAGTAGCTTCAAAAAAAAGCGGGTCAAGGGCTGAAGCTTTCGAGTCATTTTGCACGTCAACAGAGTTGCAGCAATTGTGCTCCAATGCTCGGCCTTGCCTTGACAGCAGTAATGCTGGACATTCCGGGATCCGACCAACATAAGAGGCTTCCCAGTAGCTTGACCCCCTCGTTCCCTAGTGAAGTACTTCGACCGACGGGACCTCAAGACCTTGGAAACACATGGGAGCCCCTAGCAGCGTCCTTGCTCCCAGTGGCGATGACAGGAGCCCCTAGTAGCTAGAACCACTGCAATTAACTCTGATTGCAAAACAAAGAATGATTGCTGATCGAAGGAGATGAGCAACAAGTCACCGATGCACGACATCTACTGCCGAGGATCCCCTTCTCAGCCTTCGCCAGTTCTGCCTGGCCAAGATTGCAGCTCCGATTTCGAACGCTATCCCCTTCAGTCGTACTGCCGAGGTCTTCGCTGTGATGATGCCTTGAACAGAGGATGGAAAAATGTTCTTGCGGTCTGAAGGTGAATCACTATACTCACCATGTCCCAGAAATCGAAAGAGATCAACGTCGGGCTTCTCTGCGCTGGCCTCGGCCATAGACTTAAGCAAGTCCCTTAAGGAACCATGCTTGGGAAGCAGCTCGGTGTCCATCAAGATCAAAGGAAGCCGTGACACCTGGCCAGCAGCCGGAGTCATGTCGCTGGACTCCTGTTCATGTCAAGTCAACCAAGTGAACCAATGGCAAATGAACCAATTTCATGTTTACCTTGTAAGGGAACCAAATCTTGCTTGCCTTATTACAGAGCTTTCTCTCCCCTCTCCGCAAGTGTGCCACCAACCGAGGGTGAAGCTCACCACTTGTGCCTGGAGGCGGGAGGAATCGTCACAGAAGGAGTGAAAGGCCTCCCAGATATCCAGCAAGTTGTCCTGCGAGGACATGCTGCAGCCCGGTTGACACTTGGCGAGTTGTGTAAAGGGATAGAACTATGTCAGTACTAGTATGGCCACTATGTGAACCACAAACTTGACAAACATCGAACGAAACTTCAGGACAAAGGCTTGAAGGCCAAATTCACTTACGCACTTAGACTATCCGCAAGCTGGACATGAGTCCGCAAGAGCAATAGCAGCTACGCCTCTTCAGGTGACTAGTCAAGTTGATAGGTGCTCAAGTTCTGCGATTCAGTGGAAAGCTTGGGCCCCATGTGAAAAGGTCAGACTAGCTTGGAACATGCAAGCATTGTATTGTAGTTTGCCTACTGAAACGCTGTCAGCAACAAAACACGCCAAAGGTCCCGTCCTGCCACAGTTCCTTCTCCTTGGCATCCAAGTTCAGCTCCTCAAGAGCTCACACGCTGTGAAAGTTGCATCCCAAGCACATAACAAGGTCCGCAAACTCTTTCAATCAAGCATCGCAGTGGTTTCTTCTATTCTCATGATTTGCTTGAGAGATCTTGAGATGTCGATGGCTTGAAGAAGCAAGACTTGTGGAAAATCCACCCCGCAAAACACATCTCTGCACGGCTGGCCACCGGCACAAATTGCATTTAAGGTGCTGGTATTGGGAATTCACATGCACATTGAATTCACCAAGACATGAGAAGGCCACCACCTCAATGTTGCTTGTGTGACCATGACCATAACTCTATGCACGTGGGAGACCTTAACTTTTGTCAAGAAAGCGACTTTGGAATGACTGAGGGAAGGATACTTTAAAGGGCACACTATCACAAGAAGACTTAAGCTACCTTGTCGGCTACAGCTGCGAAGTCCTCTGCTATTTGTAGTTCTCTCTGAAGACGTTGGCATTCGGCCTTCTCCTGCCACCAGAAAGCAACCAAATTTATCTGCCAGGCGAGTAAACACTGTGTTTACCAAATCTAAGCACAGTGCCTACTAGCGATGGCCTCCAACCTAAGAGCCATGGCCTCCAAGCTACTAGCGATGGGGTGCAAGCCTGCAAGAGAGGAGCCACTACGCGGAAATAGGAGTGGGAAATCGAGACGCGGTCCAACAGCAACCTGGGCGGCGCCGGCAAATCCTCCTCTCCCCTGTTTATGTGGGGTGTCTGACACTAGAACTGTCTGAGCCGCATTTTGCGGGAACTTTCTCATAATTCTCTCTTCCAAGCTTTGTGGAAGAGATTGCTACACCCAAATGTACCTCAAGCATGGAGTGTTGACTTGGCATAGTATGTGTAGTGTCGTGGTGTTAAGGCCTTCCATGGCATTACAGGCCAGACTAGCCCCCAATCTCAAAAGCGAACAAGCGGACACCTGACAGATCCTGAGAGCCTTTTGCATCCAGCTTTGCAAAGGACCCAAAAAGCACCAGGCGCGTGCATAATTGCACAGCACCATAATTGAGTGTTGACCAAATCAGGCATATCCAAGACAGAAAATTGGAATCAAAATTAAAGGACCGGATAACCCCACATATGAATCTTTACGAATCTTAAGTTTCTAAAGCACAAAGCAGTCAGAGTCTCAATAGCTTCTACAACACGGCCTTTTCAGGAAGTTATATAAGATTTACACAACAGAGGGGTGGGAGAGAGGTGTGGGAGAGTTGCCACGAAATCTGCACGTCAAGAAACCAGTGAAAACTCTAATCACAATGGAGGAACGGACCGGCGACCACCGCCGACCACCGCCGACCACGCAACAGCCAGAGCCTCTAATGGAGCATGGAGGTTCACACAGTGCTGTACCTGCCACGAATTCTGGTGACGTCTCGGTGTGTGTTGTCACAAAGTGCTGCGCCTGCCACGAAATCTGCACATGGAGGTTCACAAAGTGCTGCGCCTGCCACGAAATCTGCACGTCAAGAAACAAGTGAAAAACTCTAATCACAATGGAGGAACGGACCGGTGACCACCGGCGACCACCGCCGACCACGCAACAGCAAGAGTCTCTAACTGAGCATGGAGGTTCACAGAGTGCTGTACCTGCCACGAATTCTGGTGACGTCTCGGTGTGTGTTGTCACAAAGTGCTGTGCCTGCCACGAGATCTGCACATGGAGGTTCCCAAAGTGCTGCGCCTGCCAGGAAATCTACACATGGAGGTTCACAAAGCGCTGCCTGCCACGAAATCTGCACATGATCTCTGTGTGTGTTGTCTCGGTGTGTGTGATCT